CTGTTCGTTTAAGGAGTGTTCTGTATATGAGACTACTAGCTGGATTCAGGACTAATAGACTTTAGGAATCCCACGGCACAGTCATTAAATTGTAGTCTCAACTCTGCTCACAACCTGAGTTCGATCCTGATGAGCTCAGTAGCGGGCTCAAGGTTGACTCAGCCTTCCATCCTTCTGAGGTTGGTAAGTTGAGCACCTGGGGGGGGCAATGTGTAGCCTGCATAATTAACTTGTAAACCACCCAAAGAGTACTTTAAGCACAATGGGACAGTATGAAACAACACACTTTGCTTTTGCTTATGATGTAAGAAATCTGCCACTGTTAAAAATACAAGAGTATTTGTTGTTTCTGATAAAATAGGTGAACACTCCTCCTCTCTGGAAGCTAAAGAAAGCTGTTTTATTTTTATATATTTAGATTTAAAATGTCTTTCAAACCTTGGTATGCAGCTTAACCCTCAAGGTTCTTATATACTCTTTAGTAGATGCATATACATGCTTCTGTGCTTTGTTTTGGCAACAGGACCATACAAAACCTCACACCGTAGCATCTTCATTTATTTGCAGTCATACACAACAGATGTAATGTTCTCCCATCATTTACAATCATACAGAGAAGATTGTTGGAGAAAAACCTTACAGCAGCCACTGGGGGGCCATCACAAGCTTTCCCTGAAAACAACTAAGCTCAGTGTGATGTCTGTGGCGGTGAAGATCCACAGCAGTATACAGTGGCATTTTTTTTGACCAGGCAGTGTTTTGCACTGAAGGGCAGTGGTCATGTAACAAGTACTGTATACAAAAATCTCTAAACAGACATGGAACCATAGCAGTACAACCATCTCTACAGCATTCAAGGCTTTAATGTAACAGCTGGGAGAATTCTATGCAACTGATGCTGAAAGCAAACAGAAAGCAAAGGTGTAATGTTAATTAAACTGAATGACTCAGAGTAGACCAGATCAAGAACGTGGTCATTGGATTAAATCGAATGATAGTCCCAATTAGAATAGAGCCACAAAAAAGGGAGACAACCTATGCTATTGTGACTAACCAATCCCCCTCATTTCATTGCCTTACTGTAGTTGTGACTAACATTAGTCCATTGTTATTAAAACCAGCATTTTAAAATTATATTTATATCCAATTGTTTCTCCAACAACCCTCCCACTTCCTTTCTTTTAATAGCCTTCTGCAATTGTCAATGAAAATGAGGAACAGCTACTGGTCCAAAGTCACCCAGCTGAGGTTCATAGGTGAGAAAAGATCTGAATCTGACTGTAGGAAGCAAACTTTGGCTTTTTGTGTGCAAGAACCAAACAAGGCAGCTACTGATAGGACCCTTTGGAGGCAATTAATTCATAGGGTCACTATCCATCAGCAGAGACTTGATGAAACATAAAAGTCACAACCCCAACTCTTTCTCTTCTCCCTGATTTTGGTAAACTGACTCAAGAGTTCCCAAACTCATGCCCTGCAGACGAGTTGGAACACAATTCCATGATCTCTTCTCTCTCTCTCTCAGGCACACACAAATTAAGTCATGTATATCTTTTCCACTGTTTGATTCATAGAGAGCTCTTCAGGTTTCTAGCAGTCATGAAAACTGGTAACTGGACATCATCACAGTCCAATAAAATACCAATAAAAACACAATTGAGACACAGCAAACAAAACCAAGAAAGAGGACAATGGAAGATTACAAACAGAAGTGGTGGACACTTTAGATTTGCCTCCCACAATATATTACCACATTGGTTGGAGATCATGGAAGTTTTAGTCTAACATGCATGGATGATGCCAGACTAGGGGATTCTGCTCTAGACAAAAAGAAAATGATCTAATCCATGAATCACTTTTCAGTTGCCCTGGTTCACATGGGAGACTTGAGGATTCACCTGGACTCCAGAGTTACAGCAAATTGATTCCATTTTATATGTCACAGCTCCATCCGGAGAAATGCTGTGTTTCAGAATTCTCTGCTAGGAAGCTGTAGTGCACCTCCTGAACTACAGTACTAAAAGTCATCAGATTACCAAACCAGGATTCCTTAAAATGAAGCAATGGCAATTAAAATGGTAGCAAATTAATATAACAGAGTGATGTAGATACACTCTTACAGGGCAATCCTGTAAGACACAGGATTGTAATCCTGTACACAGAAGAAAGCCCACTAATTCAAAGAGAGTTACTCCAAGAAAAGCATACATCATTGTAAACTTAAGTACAAGTGGTGGAAAGATAACAAATGTGTACTTAGAAGATGGTGGAGATACCCCTCTGTTACCTTGCATCTGGGCCTGCACGAGTCTTCTTCACCTAATGGTGTTTAGCTATCTCACAGTCTAGTCTAATCCTCAATAGCAGAAGCTATTCAGCCCACGCTGTACCCCTTGAAACCTGCCAGGAGCCAAGAGATATTATTGAGATTACTTGAGGGGGAGGCAGGAGGAGAGTATGGAATTTTTGAGTGTAGGCCTTAAATAGCCAATGCTTGTGATGTCTCTTCCTGTAAATGTTCTTTACCCATGATGACGACAATCATAGCTATCTACATATCTGGAATGACTCGCTGACCTGACTCCTGTTTGAATCATCCACTTGTGGGTTTTTTCACCTTCACTTTATATCATGATAGGGATGGTTTGTCACATAGGGTGAAAGGGCCTCCAAGTCTGAAGGGGAATGTGGGTTTGTGGATCTTTCTCTCTTACTCTTTGGCATGTGCACACTTACTTTTGCCATGCTTGCATATTTTTGAAAAGGCCTCTGTTTTCAAAAGCCAGAACACTGTGCTATATCTAGAGCTTTTCTGACACCTAAATCTGGTTTCAAAGGGCTATAGAATGGTTTTTGGACTATAGGTCTCATAATCCCTTACCACTTGGCATGAGAGCTGGAGAGGAAGGAAGTTATGAAATGGTATTGCCAGTAGGACATCTTTAGTTCTCTTCAGAAATTCCAGACTGCTTTCTTAGAAAGGGTTTCCAGCACCTCCTGGCCTTTAATGGAGATCCTTGATTGACTGATTGACCTAATTAGTTTGTTAGTTGATTGATGATTCAGAATAATTGCAATAGTAGGAGACATAGGTTGCAAACTATCTGCTATGGGTTTATCTAGGCCAGTGGTTCTTAACCTTTGTTACTCGGATGCTTTTGAACTGCAACTCCCAGAAACCTGTCAGCACAGCTGGTGGTGAAGGCTTCTGGGAGTTGCAGTCCATAATTCCTGAGTAACTCAAGGTTAAGAACCAGTGATCTAGACTGTTATAAGTTCATAACATACTCAACAGCACCGTAAGCAATAGCTGGTTGTCATTCACAATTATTTTTATCAGACAAATACAACACATCATGAATTTTTTTCAACTGTTTTTTTTAAAGTCCTGAAACTTTTATTGAATATATTTCAACAGGAAAGGCAATCAATGGCAAAAATCCATGAAGGTTATTCATATACAAAAAATGCCCCTTGCCTTCAGTATTAATAGGGATGGTAACATCTTCAACATTATTACAGCAGAACAATCACTTTAACCCTATCTGAGTGTTTACCTCAGGGTGGATAAAAATCAGTGATTTTTTAAAAATCAAATTGATTTAAATCACTATTTAAATTTTAAAAAGCATTTTTAATTTAAATAATAAAAATACAATTTTTAAAATTTAAATAAATTTAAATAATGATTTAAATAAATTTAATTTAAATCAAATCCACCCTGGTTTACATATCTATATCCATATATCTGCAATAAGCTATCAGACCCCACTACTCCCAATCAATAAAAAATACATCTGTGTTAACTTCAGAGATCAAAGCCAGGCCAATATATACAGATATAATTACCTGGAATACAGATGCTTCAATCTTGAATAAAATATACAACTTTATTAGTCAAGAATTCCAAGAAAATTGTTCAAAAACAAAGCTTAAAGAAGGGAACACATGTGAGAGAAATACCCATTCAAACAGTCAGTTCTCTTCTTCCTGATTTGGATGCAGGATTTTCCCCTGTTGAAGAGACAAGCCGTTTTGCATGTTATCTAACAGCTTAGCTCTTCAGCCACAGAACTCACTGTAGCAAAACCAGAGGCCCAGCTAACCACAAGGTTCATCTTCACATGCACCCTTCTCCTTAAAGTTCTTAATGTCAACCCCCCAAACCCTGAAACAAAATATTTAGAAACTGTGAAAAGTGCAACTGTGCTAAAACATGGCCATGTGAAACAACCTGAAGAATAGAGATATACGTATAAAAGATAATTTGGCATCTCAGCAGTCAGAAAGTGGGAGGCTCTTTATGAAGCCAATGAAAGAGAAAGAGGGATCTTGTGCAACATTATCTGTCCATATGATGCCAAATTAGAAATGTTGGAGTCCTGCTCCTCAGGTACTGAGAGACATGCTTATTAAGAGAATCGTATCATGGAGTTGTCACATACAACACAAATCCTCTTTCTGTATCTGCGGGAGGATGTCAAACCAGATCACTCTGTTAATCAACATCTACAAGTGGAAGATGCAATAAATTATAGTTTATTGTTATAGAAATAAGTCTACATAAACCTTGCACTTACACACCTTACTTTAGCTCTAAGGCAACATTTTAGAAATCTGGAGTCATTCTGTTATGCCTCTGATTAATCATAGGTTCTCATGTTGTTCAAATTAGACAAGCCATGATTAATCCTAACTATTGTCGTTTGAAACAAGCCAGTTTGAAACCATGGATTATAAACCTGGTTTATTCAAAGATTATCATTAAGTATTCTTAAAGACTTTCACGGCCGTGATCTCATGGTTGCTGTGGGTTTTTCGGGTTCTTTGGCCGTGTTCTGAAGGTTTTTCTTCCTGAAGTTTTGCCAGTCTCTGTGGCTGGCATCTTCAGAGGACTGGAGTAGGAACTCTGTCCATGCTCTGTCGTGAACAGAGTTCCTACTCTGTCCAGAGCATGGACAGAATTCCTACTCCAGTCCTCTGAAGATGCCAGCCACAGAGACTGGCAAAACGTCAGGAAGAAAAACCTTCAGAACATGGCCAAAGAACCTGAAAAACCCACAACAACCATTATCGTTAAGATTAACAACAGCTGAGGGTTTGGATGTAATGGTAAATGATGATTAATGGTAAACCCTCCCTGTGACCACAGCTAGCAGGAAAAAAATGCATGAGCCCAAAGTTCAGCTAAGCTTATTCCCACTGTACTAAACCATATGATTTGTCGTGACATTTGAATGTATCCATTGAAAAATTGCATATTCTTGCTTTCATTGATGGAGCTCCGTATTAGTTGCCCCTACTGAGGTGCAGTCATTGACAAAAGAGGCCACCGATGCAAAGTTATCATTCCACTGCCTTCCTGAACCACTTGACTGAGCTGCCACATCCGCTCTGTATTTCAGCACAAGCCTTTGGGCTTCTTGTTGGTCTTGCAAGGGGTTTTCGCCATATTCTGCTCGGAGCCATTCTCTGAACTGTAAGGATTCAGAACCAAGAACAATGGAAAAACTTTTAAACAGAGCTGGTCTAAGCATATTCTACACAATAAGCCTGCAATGATTCTGTTTTAATGACAGATATTCCACTTATTTTGGTTGTGTCTTCAAGTACTGTTGGCTGTTTTAAAGTGATTACTTAACATGTTTTAAATACTATGATTTATCGTGCCTTTTAGCTGTATCTGTTTTTAAATGCATGTTGTAAACTGCCTGGGTTCCTACAAAAGAAAAAGGCAAGTAATAAGTAAAATAGATACATATACACATTCTTACTATTTGCTGATCTAGGCTGCAATTGGTTAAAACACACTCCTGCATTAACCAGATCAAATATTTTAAAATAACAAAGAGAGTATTTTAATAAAAATATCTATAATGTAAAAATGTGTAGGAGTTTCCACAGGAATCAACTTTATACTGAGCCATAATCTTAATCCATATATGGCCAATACTGGGCAGAGGTTCTTCAGGTTTTTAGCCATAATCTTTTCTACTTCTACATGGGGTCTCCTGACCCAGAACCTAATCAAAATAGTAAAAAGATTGCTTTCCATAAATATACAAATATTTACATAAAACGTTATGGAGCATCTGTTTGATACTGTAGTCAAAATGGGAAACGCAACCTAAGGAGGTATATAATAGGACGTTAGCTTAGGGTTTTTTTTCCTAAAGTTTGAAAGATGGTTGGAGTGCTTCCCTGGAATATTAATAATATCAACGGCTGTTCCCTCAAAGAAATGTAAATACCATTTCTGTTATCTGCTGCAATCATACAGCATCTGAAGGCTGGGCCAAGACAGTTTGTGGTACGACACCAAATATGCACTCTCCTCAGATCAGGGGGCATAACACAAAAAGGTCAGCTGAGTTATGTCTGCGTCTGATGCAGAAAATCATAGATGCACTTCTCTCAGTCCCAAGAAATACAAAACAAAAGAAAAAGGAAAGGAAAAACCTAAAAAAGAAAAAAATAGCTACTAACATTTTTTCTTATTTATTTATTTTATTGGATTTTACCCCTCCCATCTAGACCAAAGGTCTACTCTAGGCGGTCTACTCTTGACACCCAAAATTCATTTCCTGAGGCTGTTACCTCACCATGCCTAATTGCCCTGCTATGTAGATTTAAATACTTTATTTTTTGTAGAATTATTAAATCAAAGGTCTTGACACCCAAAATTCGTTTCCTGAGGCTGTTACCTCACCATGTCTAATTGCCCTGCTATGCAGATTTAAATACCTTATTTTTTGTAGAATTATTAAATCAAAGGTTACACTGCTTTCAAAGGGCAAAATACTGTACAATGGACAACAAGCATATGTAAAGGTAAAGGTTCCCCTTGACATTTAGTTCAGTTGTGTCTGACTCTAGGGCGCGGTGCTCATCCCCATCTCTAAGCCGCAGAGCCAGCGTTTGTCCATAGACAGTTTCCGTGGTCACGTGGCCCAGCGCGACTAGACACGGAACGGCGTTACCTTCCCACTGTGGTGGTACCTATTTATCTACTCGCTTTTACATGCTTTCAAACTGCTAGGTTGGCAGGAGCTGGGACAAGTGGCAGGAGCTCATTCTGTCGTGTGGGTTCGATCTTACGACTGTGGGTCTTTTGACCTTGAAGCACAGAGGCTTCTGCAGCACCACCATGTCCCTTTTAGACAACAAGCCTACAGCATGTTAATGACTGCAATAAGGCTAAATATGATATAAATAATAACTTCAACTAACCCCAGCGGTCTGCTTGGAAGATAATATTCCCAAGTAACTTTCTAATAATTATTTATATAAAGATAATGTACTCTCTGGCTGGTTCTAACAATATCCAAAACTGCACTGGGTGAGGGGGACCCTTTAATTGTGTTGGGTCATTGGTGATATTGTGAATACCACTTAATAAAGAAATGTCTGTGACAATCTATGAATTGAAAATCCACTTGGAGACAGTGCAGAAGACTGTGGAATCTGAGTAGAATAGTCAGGCTTTGACTGCTAAAAATATGTTACCCTAACGTAACTTCCACTGAATATAGAGTGACTCGCTTTTGAGTAAACCTGGTGAGGACTGCAGTGTCAATGATTAAGACTAAATGTTTGCTGGAATCGTTGATTTGCGCATAACAAGGCAAACCAGAAGCAGAAACAAATACATCCTTTTGACCAAAGGGAAGCTTCACGTCTCTAGATATTTTGGACTACAGTTTCCACAAGCCCTTATCTGGCACAAGCAATGGTCAGGGAATTTAGGAACTGAGTTCCAAAATGTCTGCAGGAACAAAGGCTGAGAACCACAACCTTTGGCAAAGAACTGTGGAACTTACCTCATTCGTTAGCACAGGCTTCCTGAATTGGCACCCTTCCAATATGCTGATCTACAGTTATCTGGCTAGCATGTCTAATAGGAATGGTTTTTCAAGTTAGCATGACACTTCATATGAAATTTGAAGGTATACTCTGCTTACATAAAACTAAGAACCCAAACATATATATAAACATCACATATACTCTATGATCATTCTTCTTCTTTTTTAAAAATCACTATTTGCATAACGCACGGACAATTTGTCTTTTCAGCTCAGATCTATCAGACATGAAATGACTGTAAAGGTTCAAATTAAGGAGGGAGAGGACGATCTTGGAAATTCCCTGTCCTATGTTGTGTAAAGACAGTTATATTCCTATTTGCCCTAGTTTTCAATACAGTGAGGAATATTAAGAAATAAACATTTAGAGATGAAAAAAAATGTTGCTTCATTTATAGCAGTTGTTTTAACAGCAGCAAACACAATCTTAAATACACACACACAGAGAGAGAGAGAGACAGAGAGAGAGAAACTTGCTTGGTAAGGGAAAGAAAAGATGAAATCAAGGAATAAACACATGTTATAAATATGCTGAGCTCCCAAAGCAAGAACTGTGAGTAGAAAATGTATGTACTGTACGTGTGTGAGGGGGAGGGTTGCACAACCTCATGTCCAAGGTATGGCTTAGACAGATTCTGACAGTTTGGATGACTACCAACCCAGATAAATAGGTTATGCTATTGACAGCAGAGAAGGAGAGGGTTTTTGTCCTCTCCTGGAAGATTTAATATATGAGACTGAAAAGCTGTCAGTCACTTGGGTGGTCCCTCCTCCAGGACAGAAACAGAGCAGGAAAGAGCATCACCTCACTGACTGTTTGGACTGGTGTGCGGAGGTAGGCAGCCAGCATGAGTGAGAAGGAGGTGGTGGACTCAGTCAAAGTATGTTCTGTCACACACACCCTATCAAACTGCACCCTTCAAATCATCACCGGAGTCGAAGTTACATAGTGAGCGTGCAGTGGTCTGTTACTTTTGTTCCTGATTGTATATTCTGTGTGCTGATACTTGTTTTTTTGTCTTCAACATCAGAGAAACTAAAATGCTTTCTTCCGCTTGAGAATAAATAACCTCCATTTTGAATATTCAGTGAATTTTATGACCTGATTTTGGAGATTCCTTCCACAAGACACTAACTTTAAACCTGCACTATTTGGTCTGGGTCAGCTAGATTAAAAGGGGCTTCTGGATCACTCACGGTGGCATCCTAGAAAGGAAGTGGCGTCAACCTGCGCAGTTGTCGGTTATGTTTTAATACTCGTCTAAAACTGTCACCAGCCCTGTGTGTGTTGTGTTTAGTCGTGTCCGACTCTTCGTGACCCCATGGACCAGAGCACGCCAGGCCCTCCTGTCTTCTACTGCCTCCCGGAGTTGTGTCAACCATAGGAGATGGCATTCAACAGTACCTGGAGTTCTACTTATTCCTCAATGATTCGTCACATTCTCTACGACACAGAGAGGTGATAAATGTTCTAGCAGCGCTAGAAGAAACTCAGAATTCGGATATCTGTCTTCACATCCATCCACAGCTTTTCAGCTTCTGACACTGAAAGGCACACTTGGTCGTTCTTGCCCTCTCTCTTTCTTTTAAACGTTAGTGCTTCTGAGTCCATAGTGCTCAGGAAAATGGTGTTGAAATGGAAAATATAACTGGGGAAAATACATCATATATTGTGTTTTGGTTCTCAAGTTGTATTGAGAATGAAATCTCCGTGCCGTTCAGCTTAATAAACTCTGCTGGCAGTGTGTCTGTGGAGTAGGGTGGGAGAGACAGATCTCAGAGATCAAACAGTTACAGGGTATGCTACTTCTCTAGGCTATTTAGCTTTTTTCCTACACAATAAGGGTGACCTCTGCTACTTGGGATGCTACAAAGAATACACACATGTGTAAGTCTGCTGTATGGAATGTGGTGGAGTCTGATTATTGATACAATCACCTCAAAGTCTATGAAAAACCTGCATGCAGGATGAGAGCAACAGTGTCCCTCCATTTCACATTTCTTCGCAAATGATATATACACAGCCACTGGTACTTCAGGGGTTATATAATCATGTTATCTAGTAGCCACTGGTGGTCCTAACCTTCATAAATTTATCTGTGTCCCTTTAGCATCAACCATGTTGACTGCTATCACGACATCCTGTGGAAAGCTCCCTCTCATACTTTTCTAGTTATCTACCAAAAAAGCAAAATAAGGCACATCTAGGTGCTTAAGACAGAAAGCCCACATGGCATCATCGTCTCTCACAAATTAATCTATGGTGCTCTTGCACTGATCCCAGTCATTTTAATGGGGCTTGTCCAGGAAAACTAGCCAAAGATGAGCATCCATTCCACTTTCTGATACACCAAATTTATTTCTAGAGGCAATCAATCTATCCTACCTTATATATTACCATTGCCTTTGACTGAAGTCCTATTGCCCATTATTTACCCAACCTTGGTGTCTACCAATACAGTGGGCTATGTAAAAATACACACAAAGTTCTAAAAAAATATATGCTTAAGAATGAAGTATGGAAGCCAAGCAAGAACATTTGAACAAATTCATATTTGTACTTTCGGCCTTGTCTTGGAAAGTCATTTACATATTTGCGATGCAAAAAAACCCTACAGATCAGACACCTGTTTTCCAAACTGAGAAGCAGAAAATTCCAGTCCCAGGGCAATAAAAATTCAACATCAGGACCACTGACCCCTCCACTTTGAGGGGGGGGGAGGAAACAGATCAAATCCATAGTTGGTGTTTACAGAGAAATATGAGTGGAAAAGACAAGTGCATGTGACTGAAGGTGCATCTGTCAGTTTCACATTACCACACATTCGATTTCATACAATCCCCAGGTTTTTACTGCCTTGAGTGAACATTTATGAGTGAAGTTTGTGAATTTTGGAAGGTTCTTAACAAGAACGGAACAAAAATCTCAACCTTCTGCACTAGCTAAATTCTCCCAGGAGGGAAAGGATCAATGCTATTTGCCGTACAGCTCTTTAAGATGTTATATAGCTAAGATGAGCTATTAAACAGATGAGCTTCTAAAACCATTCAAAAAGAGAAGGCAACCCTAATTTCTAATCATAAGTATTGCATAATCTGCAGGAATTCAAAGCCAGACTTTTAAAAGCTACACATTCAAAGCCTAGGTTTATGAATCTGGATAAGCGAAAGTGTCACTTTCACTTTCTCCTACATTAAGCTTTTGAAAAATCTCCAGTTAATTCCATCAAGTTTATAAAGAAATTTGCAAATTTTGGAAAGTTTTTTTAAATCAAACAGTAAGCCAAACAATGCTCACCTGTTACTAGAACATCAGCACTGGGTTTGGCAATTTTTTTCTCCAACAGCAACCATTCTAGCCCTACATTTCAATCACTGCGCTGTTTACCTTGTAATTGTAATGCCTAAATCTTTGGTGTGCAGAACGGTATCAACTTCTGTGCTAACAAACAAAACAAAAACAAATAAACTTCCACTGCATGGCTCAAGACTTCACCTGGAGATATCAAGAGCTACCTCACTTACATGAGCAACGTCCTTTTTCTCAAACTCTTCTAGCTGCCGCTGGAAGCCTGTGTTTGGATTGGCACATGATCTTGAGGCTCGCACCACGGAAAGTGCGTCTTCCCAACCCAAATCTGTGACAGTCATGATGTAAGCCACAACCAGGGTAGCGCTCCTGGAAACTCCAGCCAGGCTAGATCACCACCAAAGGCAGACAAAAAGACAGGTCAAAATTAAGTTGTAGCCTATCCTGAATTTCAGTTCATCACAGACTGAAAGTATAACCTTTTTCTAAAACCAGAAGGAAAAAAAACAGAAAAAAGCATAACCAAAAAACAAAACAAAACAAAAAGTTCAATATAAGATATGAATAAGCAAATTTTAAATAAGGAACACTTCCAAAAACAAAAGAAATGTTATCCAGGAGAATACAAAGTTGTTACGACTATTTTTTTTTACATTAAAAAAGAAATGACACAAAAATGCAACATGCCTTTTCAGCTTTAAATTAACATAACTGGTTCTCAGGGATACACTCTAAGAATCCCAGTACAGTGGTGCCTCGCTTGACGACGTTAATCCATTCCAGCGAAATCGTTGTAGAATGAAATAGTCATCAAGTGAAAGTAAAAAGCCCATTGAAACACATTGAAAACCGCACAATGCGTTCCAATGGGCGAAATACCTCAGCGTCCAGTGAAGATCCTCCATAGCGCGGCCATTTTCGGGTGCCTGTAATGCGAGGAATCCATCCTAAGCACAGCGGGGAGCCATTTTGAACAGTGGGTGGCCATTCTGAAACCAGACAATCAGCTGTTTTCTGATCGTCGTAAAGCGAAAAATCGGTTCCCGAGGCAAGGAACAGATCATTGTGAAACGAAAAAACCCCATTCAATCATTGTTTTGCGATTGCAATAGTGATCACAAAAAACACATCGTGAAGCGATTTCATCGTTGAACGGGGTAATCGTTAAGCGGGGCACCACTGTAACTGTAGCCTAGCAACACCCTTTCTCACTGAAAGGCTATAAATCCTAGACTTTTTGGAAACGGGATAATCATTGTTAAACAAGTTTAAGATTATAGTTTAAACAGATCTTTCCAATTTTTCTCATCAAGTTCATGTGGATTAGAATACAATCTGTCTACTGTAATAACCAGTAGTGTCATGCCACAGGGCCACAACCATTTCCAAAATTGTAAAGATGTTTCAAATTAAATAAATTGTATTGCTTTGGCTTGGAAAATTGAGTTGTCTCTAAAATGCATATAATGAAACTAGACTTGTCAATGTGTCTGGTGCTGGACCTGAACAATACCTCACTTCCCCCAGCTCTTTAAATCTATACCTAATGTGAAATAAAATTGAATTCTTCTGAATGTTTCTAATTCCTTTCTGAAGCATTCCAAAACAGAGTAGGAACACTATTGGCTACAACACCTGCAAGCCTATACTTTCCACACAGAAAACCAGGATAATCAAATCTGGAATACATACCAGTGAACCAGGCAGCCCTCACCTCTAAGTCGGCATTCATGTATAAATGCAATACTTTCTTTGAAGTGTCCGGTCCTTTAAAAAAAAGGCAGGGGGAAAAAAGAGACATGGCTTAAGAAAATTAAGGACTACAGGTTTAAGAAATTCCTTAATATGTCTTCTGAAATTGAGAGAGGTATAAAGAGAGGACAGCCACCATCTTTTATGGAGATGGTCACTGAGGTTCACAACATAGCATCAACGCTGAATATCAAATGACGAGTTTGTTAAAATGACAGGGTTTAGGACAAGCCTAAGCTCTGGCTCTTCGCGCAATTGAACTCCAAACGATGGAAATGAAAAAGCAATTGTAGAAAAAACAGTTAAAATGTAAAACAAAATCGTTAAACTGACTAAACTAGAGTATGTAGCCCACAGATACTCAAATGAGAAGCAGGGTCTCACCACCCCCTGCCTCTATATCCCAAGTTTCGGGGG